GGGATGGACCTCTAAATCGGATTTTGTGCGACATTGATACAGCACTACAATGTGTATCAGGTGTTGAATATGGAAGTGTTTGAATTGATTTGATATAGCACTAAAATGTATATCGTTATCAATTGTAAAGTATAGAAGTGATTCTATGTTATGTTCATACAGCGCCGAAATGTGTATCTTTCTCAAAGTGTGGCAATGATTTATGCGTTATTGATACAGCATTAAAATGTGTATCCCTTATGAATTTTGAAAGTGTTTTAAAGATGAGTCTAAATCTCATTAAGTTAATTGGCTAGGTGTTGAGCCTTGTTTTCAAACTCAAAGTTGGAAAAGACATGGGAAATGAAATGTAACATGGACTTAATGTCATGAAATTGAAATGTGATATATGTGACTGTATCTGTGTAGACCATCTATCAACTGCTAATCTTTTAGTCATTGTTCATATTTGGTTTAGTATATTTCTGCTGGGCTGTGGCTCACCCTATATGGGAATATCATTTTCAGGTACAGGTAGCATGCCACCTCCAAGGACATAGCTTGGGAGGCTAGAAGGCGACATCTGCTTTGCTATTTGCTTTCCTTTTGATGTATTACATGTAAATTCAAGCCAAGGGCTTAATATGTATTGAGTTAGTACCCTTCTTTTTGTAACCAAGTGTTAACTTGGAAAGCTGTAAGCCCGTAGGGCATCTGCCTTTGTTGTTAACATGTAATATTTTTGTAAGGAACTACTCTGATGAATAGAAGAATATTTATCTTTTATACCAATGCATGTCTAAGTTGATGGGTTTTAATGTTATTATTTTGAGGGCGTTACAATCCTGAAACTATAGCATGTAACTCTGAATGTTAACAACAGAGTAAGTGCCCTACGGGCTTACATCTTTCCAAGACTTTGCTTGGTTACAACAAAAGAAGAGTCCTAGCTCTTATAGCATATAAAGCCTCGGCTTGAATAAACATTCAACACAAAAACGAAATCACAAAAGTAGAGCCTTCAGCCCCTAAGCCTCTCAGGCTATGCCCTTGAGGCGGCATGTCACCTGTAACCTGAAAATGGTTTCCCAAGTAGGATGGAGCCAAAGCCCAGTAGAGATATGCTAAACAATATACGAGAATTAACTAAAATATGAAGCATCAGATTAAATGTACAACATTCTTTACCAATACATATTCTTTTCAAGGTCTTCAACTCGGATAGCCAAATATCTCAATTCATTTCCATTCTTCCATTCTGGGTAAATCAATTAACCAAATTCATTGTTATCAAAGCAACCAGTATGAGACTACAACTCAATGGTTCACAATTCATTACATTCAACACTTCTATTTCTTGCCATTTTACGGAACCACGTCCGAGGGAACCGACACCCATAAATATATAAGATTTTGGGACTTTCATTCTGGACACTCCAGCCAACTTAATTATTAATGGAGTCCATCCCCTATCTCCTCCCAAACAATGATACATATACAATGTATTTAAACACTTTGTCATATACAATGACTAATCAAAACACATATTCAATGGTTTAATCAAACCGTCATATTCAATAAAATAATTCAATTGATTAGTTTCAATCATCCTAATTCTCATGCAGTTTCTACAACAATTATAGCTGTCCTCCACCGATAGCCCAAACAGATACATCTAAACAGATAAATAAATCCATCAACAGCTAATTTATCAAATTCCATAGGTGTGTCATTTATCAAACAAAACTACACCATTCAATCACATTTCCCCCAATTTCATAATTCCCAAACCAATTTCATTATTTACATAAATAGTTATTTCAACTCAACTTAGGGCAAAATTTCCATTTTTTTCCAAAATATCAACCCATAGGTCCAAATCTCACCACTGCAACAGTAAAGAACCTCATACACAAACCCCCAAGGTTACTTTGTAAATCAACATGAAAAACCCCCTTTAGTTTAGAACCTAGACCTTAACATTTACCAAAATCTTCCCAAATCCCACCATTTATACAAAAATGACAAATATCTAGATTAAAGCTCATATTAGAGAGTAGAATATCCCTACCTCAAGCTTAGATGAGAGAGAAGAGAGAAAGCTCAAAATTCGATGGCGACAAAACCACGTTTTGCCCCGATCAAAACGAAGCCCTTGACAAGCTCTACACTTTATTTCAAAGGAGCAAGGTGAAAAGATCACTCTAGGTGAGTAGATCTAGAGATTTAAGTGAAAAAATTTGGGTTTTAGAGAGAGAAGAGAGGAATCACGGTTTAAGAGGAAAAAGGAAAGGAAAATCATGGGAGAAATAATGGTTTGAGCCTATTTATAGTAGTGAGGAAAAGCCATAAGGTCAAATAAAATAATAGGCCCAAAAATTCCCATAGAAAGAGCCCATTCGGACCTCAAAAATCTAAAAAAAACACGCAGGGGTCGACCCTTAGACAAGAGGGGGTCGACCCTATCTTCCAGTAACCACTACAACAAAAAGCACAATCGGCGACTAAAATATCATTTTTGTCGCGGAAAGTACGGTTTTTGGCGACTAAAATGGAATTAGTCGCCAAAGTTGATCAGTTTTGCCGACTAAAAGAGTTTAGTCGCCGAATATAATGGTTTTAGCGACTAAAAGGCAGTTTAGTCGCCGAATGTAGGGTTTTTAGTGACTACAGGTTGTTTAGTAGCCAAAAGTGACGGTTTTTGGCGACTAAAATAATTTAGTAGCCAAAAGTGATGGTTTTGGCGACCAAAAAACAGCTTAGTCGCCGATTATAGCTGTTTTGCCAACTAAAATCTGTTTGGTCGCTGAAAGGTCAAGAATTGCCAACTAAATTGCACTTTAGTCGCCCAAAGTAGAGGTTTTGGCGACTAAAATTCAGTTTAGTCGCCAAAAGTGCTATCCTTAGGCGGGATTTAATTTTTTTAGCGACAGAATACAAATTAGTAGCCAAAAAATATAGAATTGGCGACTAAAATTCAGATTTAGTCACCAAAAGTGCGATCCTAATTTTTTTAGTAAATAATTAATTTTTTACATAAAATATATTAAATAAAAATAATTATTTATATATATATAACTTTGTATTAATTCCGGTCAATATAGTATATAAATAATATATTTTGCATTAATATTTACAGAATGTATTAGTGGCGTAGTGGGGATAGAGTGTTGGTAAAGGTTGAGGGTTGGGAGGTTGGTGGTTCGAAACTTGGGAAAAGCAGAGGCAAATTTTTTTTTTTTCTGAAAAATACTTTTGGCGACTAAAGTCAAGGGCTATTTTAGATTTTTATCGGGTCGCCGAAAGATAGGGAATTGGCGACGAAAAGTTTAGTCGGCAAATGTATAAATAATAAAAAAAAAATTCAGTATTGGCGACTAAAAGTTTAGTCGCTAAATGTATAATTTCCCAAAATGAAATTGACTATTGGCGACTAATTCTTTGGTCGCCGAAGACATATGTATTGCTGACTAACAAACCTTTAGTCGCCAAAGGTATTCGCGACCATAGCGGCGACTAAAATATTTAGTCGGGGAAAGTGAAAATTCTACATTTGGCGACTAAAAAAGGACTTTTGGCGACTAAAAATTTAGTCGCCAAAAGTGTTTTTTCTTATAGTGAACCAACACACAGACATAAGAGGGTCGACCCTCTCCAGTCTGGTGTCTACCCTATTTTCCAGCAACACTTCCAGAAACTTCACCAACAAGTAAGGGTCGACCCTTAGGAAGGATGGTGTCGACCCTAGAATAGAATTTCTAAGTCTCCAAGGAACTTTTGAAAGAATAAGTGCGAACAACCAAACCCAACAAGTTTAAATCGGATTGGATTCCTCCAAAACCAACACATAACAACACCAAAGATTTTCAAAATAAATAAATGATTTGAATACAGTTCCCCAAAAGTTTTGAACGATACAGGTGCTACATAAACATTTCATGAGTCATAATTAGTGGCGGAATAAAAAAACTAAATCAGAAGGGGCAATTATTAATTACAATTTTAATTTTTTCCCATAACTAATGATAAGAAAATAATAATAATTTTTGAATTAATATTTAGTACAAAAAATTAAATAAATTATTACCAAAGTATTTTACATAAAATTTTACAATTAATTTTGAGTAACATCGAACAGAAAGTATTCCGTATAACAAGTATATCATGGACAATATAGAAAGGTCATATATTTAAGTCTTAAAATAAATTATATAATGGTAAGATAAATTAAATTTTTTCAAAATTTGAGTAAAAATTTCATATAATAGGAATATCACGTCATCATTGATATATGATATCATCAATAAATAGTAAAATAACATATGAATGATGAACTCCACATGCAAATATAACTAATATTCTAGTAACTTTTACACATATATATATATATGTATATATATCGTAAGATTAATTATATTTATATATCAATAATGATGAATATTATCTTTATATTGAGATTTTTTACAAAATTTTCATACATAAAAATATAATTTGTTATAGTCCCTACATTTTCAATAAAACAATCTCTATTATTCTCATAAATTTGGAAATGCCATTGATATTTTATTATAAATATTATTTTTGTTTAAACTTTTATTTATATGCCATTGGCCATAATTAAAAAAACATTAATTATAATTAAAAATACATACATATATATATATATATATAAGATCTTATTTGATAACTATATGTTTTAGTTAAAAAATTAAAAAATTATTATAAATTATAATATTACGTTTTTAAATTTTTTATATAATATTTTTATAAAAAATTAAAAAATTATTAAAATAGCTTATTCGCAAATGAAGCTTACATATGATACCTTCATTTTCAAGGATTGTGTGTAGACTGTAGTACAAAATCATATCAAACACTTGCCCCGCTCGAGTTCAAAAAAAAAAAAAAAACAAAAATGCTTATTATAAAAAAAAAAAAAACAAGAACGCTTGAATTTTAACCTATTTTATTTTTTTTAATGAATTTTAACTCAAAAAAGCGCCAAACATTGGCTTCCCAAACACCCCCACAAAGAGTTACATATAGACAATGCATACAACACACAGTGTGTGTGAGAGAGAGAGAGCAAGTGCCATTTCAACTCTCGATTTTCTCACTCTCTCTCCACTGCCTAACGACTACAAATCATTTCTATCTCTCTGTTTCTTTCTCTCTCAAAATTTTCTATACTTTTCTCCGCGGTGATCTCTCCAAATAGGGGCACTTTCCTGGTATTAAACACTTCTTTCTCTCTTACCGACCAATTTTTTTTTTAAAAAAAAATCCTCTCTATATATACACATATATATGTAGTAGTGCGTCTGTGCATGATTTCTAGCATTTGTTTATTAGGCTTTTGTAGCTCTAATTTATCCAGACAGAATCAAAGTGGACTATCCTTTTTTGTGTGCATCTTTTTTTGTGTTTTTTTGATGTTGACACCAAGAAAAACACTAGTCATTTGAATTATTATTATTATTGATAATCTGTTTGTGTTGGCAGAATAACAAGCATCAGTTGAGTATATATCGATCGCATATGATAAAGAAGAGATTTGGTGTAGTGAGAGAAAGTCGAGGTTTGCGATGGAGATTACGTCGAAGGACGAGAGAGGCGGTGCGCCGGTGTTGGACATTGGTACCAAGTCCACCGTCGGCGGCGGCGGTGAAGATGTCTACGGTGAGGATCGTGCGACTGAGGGCCAGCCCGTCACCCCTTGGACAATCTCTGTTGCCAGGTTCTCTTCATAATTCACCCCATCATACTCATCATCGTTGGAATTTTGATCGTGATTGGTGTTGTTTGTTGTGATTCTAGCTATTTTTTTTAGTACATCAATAGAATTTATATCAATAACTTGAGGAAATGGTTCAATTTGATACTGGACGAGCTAGAATTTATCTCAATAGCAAATTATATTTTTTTTTAGTACATCAATAGAATTTATCTCAATAACAAATTATATTTTGTTAGAACAATTCTAACACCTTGCTTGTTTTCACTTTTCAGAAAATTCTACTTTCTTACTTTCTGTATTTTTTTGCTTTTACTGAATTTTTTAAATACTTTAAGCAATTTTTTTACTTTTTAGACACATCGAACATAAATACACCTAAAAAGTAAAAAAATTGTAAAAGAAATCTTTTAAAAATTCGCTAAATACCAAAAATATAAAAAAAAACCAGAATTCAGTATATTTTTTGTATTTTTATGTATTTATGAATTTTTAAAATATTTTTTCACAGATTTTTTACTTTTTAGATATATCTAAGTAAGGTGCATCTAAAAAAGTAAAAAAAATGTTTAAAATTTTAATTTTTTAATGCAATGAATACATTGGGTTCACTATTTTGAAAAAAATTATATTTTGTTAGAACAATTCTAATAGTACTTTGTTAAAGTTATTTTTTAGTTTCTTACCGTGTATATATATATATATATATATTTTAACTATACTATACCAATCATTTCAATGTTATGTGTTTCTAAAATGCATCTAGTGATCATGATTTGCATAAGATTTGATTTTCCTAAATTTAGCTAAAAGTTTGATATATTATTTAAAAAAAGAATTGTGATGCTATAATAAATAATAAAAAAATTAAAAATTTGACTGAAGAATTTAACACACTACTAGAGCATTTTCAATCTTTTAGCTTTGAAATTTGATGAATTTTTTTTAATAAAAAATCATTTTCAATTCTTACATTAAATGTTCATCATATGAAAGGAAAGTTATTTATTTAATTTTTTTTTATCAAATTGATAATTCATCAATTTAGCTTTGATAAAAATTTTAAGATAAAACATTGGAGATGATTTTTTCTTTTACCAAATTTAGTATATAAAAAATTAGGACTAGAAAAGAACTTTTTAAAAAAAATTAATAAAAGAATTACAATAATTGACCCTCTAAAAAAAGGAATTAAAATAATTGATGTCAAAATAAATTTCTTATTCAAATTTAAAAGTAAATAAAATAAAATAATATATATGAAGGTTTGGAAATGTTCTTACAAGTTACATATACTTGGATTGGAGAGATGTTGTCTAACCCAGTGGGTTTATTTTTGGGTCTCATTTTGATAATTTAAATTATTTATATATTAGAGTTTGTCAAGTACATCATCCTTATAAAAAATCAATTTGATTGGATAATGACAATCACGTGTTCGGATTAGTTTTGTATATATAATAAAAAAATTGTAAGAAAGTAAATGATTCATATATAATTGATCCGAACATGTGTTGTCCGTTATCTAATTGAGTTGATTTTTGTAAGGATGATGTCCTCGATGAATCTTAAAATATAAACAATTCAAATTATCGAAATAAAACCCAAAAATTAGTCCGATGAACTGAATTGAAATGTCTAATTTGATGAAGGACTGGAGACCATCCAATTTCTTTATTTATTATGCTCTAAACAGAATGAATTTCTATTTGCCAATCAAATACACCATCCAAGAGAGAATTTTTTTAATTATTTTTTTATGTAGAATATCCTGGGTCAGCTTACGCGTACCAGATTAAGTCCCTACAGTCCAAACAATTCTTCCGAAATAGAACTTAAGCCCTGCGGTCCGTGACCCCAAGGTATGCATTTGCTGGCTATGAGATTCAAACTTGAGACCTAGGAGAGATCAAACCACTAGGCCCTAATCGTCACCCACTAGGCCAACCATCCTATAGTTCTAAGAGAGGTGATGTGATGGAAAAAAGATAAAAAAAAAAAAATGCATTATTTAGCCTATGCCAAACCATCCCTTAATACATTGGCAAAGCCCATATCAATATAACACGGAAAAATAATTTAATATTTTTCAAGTCATAATTAAAAAAAAATAATAATCAAATACTATATGAAATATAGGATAAAATTTCATGAGTCATAATTAGTGGCGGGGTTAGAAAACTAAATCAGAAGGGGCGGTTATGAATTACAATTTGAATTTTTTTTTTTCATAACCAACAATAAGAAGATAATAATAACTTTTGAATTAATATCAAGTACAAAAACTTAAATAAAGTATTACAAAAGTATTTCACATAAAATTTTACAGTTAATTTTGAATAAAATCGAACAGAAAGTATTGCATATAACAAGTATATCACGGACAATACAAAAAATGTCACATATTTAAGTCTTAAAATAAATTATATAATGATAAGATAAATTAAATTTTAAAAAAATTTGAATAAAAATTTCATGTAATAGTGATATTATATCATTATTGATATATGATATCATTAACCAATAGTAAAATAACATATGAATGATGAACTCCACATGCAAATATAACTAATACTCTAGTAACTTTTACACACACATATATATATATATATATATATGTATATATATCGTAAGATTAATTATATTTATATATCAATAATGATGAATATTATCTTTATATTGAGATTTTTTACAAAATTTTCATACATAAAAATATAATTTGTTATAGTCCCTACATTTTCAATAAAACAATCTCTATTATTCTCATAAATTTGGAAATGCCATTGATATTTTATTATAAATATTATTTTTGTTTAAACTTTTATTTATATGCCATTGGCCATAATTAAAAAAACATTAATTATAATTAAAAAGACATATATATATATATATATATATAAGATCTCCATGTGACTCCGCCATTGGGCATAATTAAAAAAATTAATCATAATTAAAAAATACATATAACTAAAGTCTCCTTTAGTAACTATATATTTTAATTAAAAAATCAAAAATTATTATAAATTATCATATTATTTTTTTATTTTCTATATATTATTTTATAAAAAATTAAAAATTTATTAAAATAACTTATTTACAAACGAAGCTTTGTGGATATGATGCCTTCCTTTTCAAGGATTTTGTGTAGACTGTAGTAGAATTTATCATATCAAACACTTGCCCCACTCGAGTTTAAAAAGAAATTAGCCTATCACCCGTGCCACGCATAGGATAATTATAAATATTTATATTTGTTTTAGATTTTTTTAATATATAAATTAAGTTTTTTAAGATTTTTTATAAAAATAATTTAACAATCTTATCATTAACCATAGTGTATGGGAGAAGTTGAAAAGGGTACTGCAGTAACTATGCACGGGTTGTATCTAAGATTATTTGTGTCAGGGGATTTTAAATGATGATCAGGGAATTTAGACTAAATCAATAAATGCAGGCATATAGAAAGACATGTGGATTGGAAAATGTTAATAAATGCTAATTAGGAGATTTTGACCAAATCAATAAATGCTGAGTTTTTTTTTTAAATAAAAAATTTAGATTGGGATATTGGAGCTCCTACAGGCTTTGGGGGTTAATAATTTAACAATCTTATTAATAAACATAGTGTATGAGAGAAGTTGAAAATGGTACTACAGTAACTATGCATGAGTTGTATCTATGATTATTTATATGTGGGGGTTTTAAATGCTGATAAGGGGATTTTGACCAAATCAATAAATGCAGGCATGTGGAAAGACAAGTGGATTGGAAAAAGTTAATAAATACTGATTAGGGGATTTTGACCAAAACTAAATGTAGAGGTTTTTTTTTTAAAAAAAAATTAAAAATTAAGATTGGGATATTGGATCCACATGCAAATATAACTAATACCCTAGTGACTTATATATATATATAGAGAGAGAGAGAGTAAGATTAATTATATTTATACATCAATAATGATAAATATTATCTTTATATTGAGATTTTTTTCACAAAATTTTTATGCATAAAAATATAATTTGTTATAGTCCCTTCATTTTCAATAAAACAATCTCTATTATTCTCATAAATTTAGAAATACCATTAATATTTTATTATAAATATTATTTTTGTTAAAACTTTATTTATATACATATGAAAAAAAAAATTGAAAATCCAGAACCCGAGGGGACACGTGACCACCTGGCCTTCATGTGACTACGCCATTGGTCATAATTAAAAACAAATTAATCATAATTAAAAAATATATATAACTAAAGTCTCTAGTAACTCTATATTTTAATTAAAAAATCAAAAAATTATTATAAATTATCATATTATTTTTTTATTTTTCTATATATTATTTTAAAAAAATTAAAAATTTATTAAAATAACTTATTCGCAGACAAAGCTTTGTGGATATGATACCTTTCTTTTCAAGGATTGTGCATAGACTGTAGTAGAATTTATCATATCAAACACTTGCCGCACTTGAGTTTACAAAAAACTAACCTATCACCCGCGCTATGCACGGGATAATTATAAATATTTATATTTGTTTTAGATTTTTTTAATGCATAAATTATGTTTTTTAAGATTTTTTTTATAAAAATAATTTAACAATCTTATCATTAACCATAGTATATAGGAGAAATTGAAAATGGTACTGCAGTAACTATGCACGAGTTGTATTTATGATTATTTGTATGAGGGGATTTTAAATGCTGATCAAGTGATTTTGACCAAATCAATAAATGCAGGCATGTGGAAAGACATGTAAATTGAAAAAAGTTAATAAATGCTGATTAGGAAATTTTGACCAAATCAATCAATGCTGAGTTTTTTTTTTTTTTAAATAAAAAACTTAAAAAATTAAGATTTTTTAATACATATAAATTATGTTTTTTAAGATTTTTTATAAAAATAATTTAACATTCTTATCATTAACCATAGTGTATGGGAGAAGTTGAAAAGGGTACTGCAGTAACTATGCACGGGTTGTATCTATGATTATTTGTATGTGG